CCCCAAAACCCCAAAACCCCAAAACCCCAATATCTGGAATTAGTATTGAATTGGGAAGTATCAACAACTAGTAAATAACAAAGTTTGCAGTCACAAAAACAAGATTGGAGAAGGCATTTTATAGATTGACACCTGCTAAATCCTTCTTGTTTATCAGGAATGCTCAAGATCTTTCAACACAAAAGTGTATCTGTATTTAATATCAGCTAGTGAAAAGTATCTGATGTGCAATCAAGGTAATTAGGGGATATAAGTAACCAAAACACCTTGACTGTATTATGATCAGAAAGATGTAACATTTTTGAGTCAGTCGGAAATACACCTAATTCCTTGCTTTTACTCTTTGAAATCCAATTCTGAAATGTCCAAACTCTTTTATATCTATAGACTCGGAAGGGTGTTTATCAGACTTTCAAACTACTAGAGATTTGTAGAATCAAATGCTAGAATCAGTTCTTTTTATGAATAAAGTGTAGGCCCCTCTCTTACCTAAAAGTCTCTATGTATTTATTTGATAGAGAAGTTAATAATTTATCAGCAGTTTATACTAAATTTGACTCTCTTTATACTGAGATATTAGAAAACTTAGCCTTCAAATGAATGTCTTGGTTTTCCCTGAAAATCTGAATATGAAAAACCATTATGAGTCTTGTATTCACAATTATTAAAATCCTTTAAAATTATTAGAGAAGTTGGCGGGCCCTGGCAGTACCTCTTATAATAGCTCTTTGAGGGCATCCTTGCCTGTAGCATGGAAGGATCAAAAATTTCCAGCCTCAATATTTTGCAAAGGGTTTTGTTTGGTTTGGCCCAGACTTCATTATTGTTCAGAGAAGGGTCCAAAGATTTCAGGCCTTCATATCATTTGGAGTGAGAAAAATTTGGAACATTCAATGGAATATTAGAATATCTAGCTCAGCTACATTTGTTCCCAATTAGAGTATAATTTTTCCAGTTAGTTGGGAACCCTGTGTTCGTATCATACATGTTTCAAGTATTTTACCTTCGATCTGTCTTTAATACCCAATAGATCTATTTTATTTGAAAGTTTTGAGGCTATTTAGTGATTTATCGCATCTAGTCTCTCTTCTAACTTCCTAAATTATCTTAAATTATCCGAATTTTTTCCAAAAGATGCCATAATCCTTCAAAAATTCATTTAAACCCTGGGGTTTTGGGGTTTTGGGGTTTTGGGG